GTACTGTATGTAACGTTACCTCACAGTACTGTACTGTATGTAACGTTACCTCACAAACAACAAAAGTTCCTCCCTCAAAGAAACTGGTCCAGATGATTTAACCTTTTTTGTTCTCACAGACCACAGCAACAATGGAACAGACACCCGTATTTGAGGTTCATGGAGTTTTGTTTTGAAATCAGCCTTAAATATAAGGATATCCAGTGTGTGCTGCAGCAGTAAAATTAATTTTACGTTGGATATTTCACATTCATGCTCCGTGGATTCAGCGGTGGCTTCCTCGTTCGAGCCGACGCAGGCAGTCTGATGTCAGTCTGTCCCTCTGAGGAGCGATGGTTCTCTTAGAGACTGTCAACAAATTACCGGTCTAACGAGCTTGGTCTGAACACCGTTATAATATTTTAGATATACTTCCAGAGTATTTGTCAAAGCAGCACCACGTATCATACGTTTTCTCAGTATATTTCTGCATGATAATAAATCATGAATTTTCTCACCATTTAAAATCCAAAAGAACAAGGTGGCACTTGTGTTTCAAAAGTACTGTAACTTTCTTTTAAAGCATCAAAGTTCATTCAAGGATTCAAAGATTCAAGATTATTTTTCATTCACACCACATGTGGTGCATGTGGTGGAATGAAATTGTGTCCACAGGGTCCCAGTTACATCCAACAAAAGTATTAAAATGTGTGTAAAAGAAAACAGTAATAAGATCTAAGATATGAACTAAGAAAAAGGTCAACTATAAACACACTAAGCACACACACTTCCGTAGGGCTTCATCAGTCTGAGGAGTCCCAAGTAAACGGTTTTCCCCACTAAGCAGCACACTCCTTTACTGGACCAACTAGTTTGCTGGTTTTGCTGGTGACTGATGAAGCCCTCCGAATAGAGGGCGAAACATCTTTCCACAAAAAAGAAACTGCCCAGATGACCTGACTGACCATTATTGTATTTTGTACCTGGATGATTGAGCATGAACTTTGATGCTTTAAAAGAAAGTTACAGTACTTTTGAAACACAAGTTTGCTCTTGTTTTTTTGGATTTCTTTGGATTTTTCGGGGGCCCCACAAGGATGTGTGCTGAGCCCCCTTCTGTTCACTCTACTAACCTACGACTGCTCTCCATCACACCCCTCCAACCTCTTCATCAAGTTTGCGGACGACACGACTGTGGTAGGCCTCATCAGCAACAACGATGAGTCACTCTACAGGAGCGAGGTGAGCCGGCTGGTCTCCTGGTGCAAACGCAACAATCTCTTGCTGAACACAGAGAAGACCAAGGAGATTGTTGTGGACTTCAGGAGAACTCAGACAAAACATGCTCCACTATCCATCAACGGTGTTGTTGTGGAAAGGGTGAGCAGCACCAAGTTCCTGGGTGTGCACATCTCTGAGGACCTCTCCTGGACCATCAACACAGCAGCAGTGGCCAAAAAGGCTCACCAACGGCTCTACTTCCTCCGCAAGCTGAGAAGAGCGAGAGCCCCCACCCCCATCATGACAACCTTCTACAGGGGGGCCATCGAGAGCATCCTGATGAGCTGCTCCACTGTGTGGTACGGGGCCTGCACAGCATCCTGCCGCAAATCCCTCCAGCGGATCGTGAGGACAGCTGAGAAGATCATTGGCACCTCTCTCCCCTGCCTTCAGGACCTCCACAGCTCTCGCCTCAGAAGTAAAGCCCTCTGCTGGGTGGGAGATCTTGACCACCCGCTACACTGCTTCTTCAACCTGCTGCCATTAGGGCGGAGACTGCGTAGCCTCAGTTCTAGGACCAGCAGACTGTGGAACAGCTCCGTCCATCAGGCCGTGAGGATGCTGAACTCTCTGCCTGCCCCCCCTCAGCCCCCTCTCCCACTTCTGCCACCCTGCACACACTAACTCAGCTTCCTGAC